TATATATATATATATATATATATATAAAGTATACTGCAAGTGGATGTTTCAAATTATAATTCGAGATTCGCACAAGCATTCACACTTTCCATCTGTAAATGCGGAAAAAGATTTGTAATATAGGATTATTAATGTAATATAAATATGTAATGTAATATAAATTAATTTTTAATTTTTTATTAATGTAATATAAATATGTAATGTCATATAAATTAATTTTTAATTTTTTATTAATGTAATATAAATATGTAATGTAATATAAATTAATTTTATTTGTAAAAATTAATTTTAACATTGATATTAAAAAAAGAAAGAAAGAAAAAAATCAAATACATAAGTATTTATTTCAACGTCTCTAAATAATAATATAAAGGAAATAATAATATAAAAGAAAAATCACGACATTTATGTTGAAAACGTTTTCATTGGTAAATCTACGTCAGAAACTACGTTACATTCGAAGATCGACGAATAGGGATTTTTTTCAAAATTCGATTCCGGAAACAAGAGAACTCGACATCTGTAGAGGCAATCGCCATTTTGTTTGATCGATAGTTGAATCTCGAAACACTCTCGAATCAGGGGGTCTACGGCGCGATACGTAAGTGCTCTGTGTTTGTTTGCTTCTTACGGAACGAAGCTGCGAGATATGACTCAAGAAGGCCAGTAAGTATGCAAAAATTCCCATATAATTTCCTTCGGACGCATTCCTCCGCTCTGAGATTCCTCTTTCTGAGCGTTTTATTGAAAAAAGTGACGGATATCGCTGAAAAAAGTTCGAATACCGCCCCGTGGCTTTCGAAACATCGCCATGTTGTAAAGACGGCTTTATTGATTCTCGAAATTTCTGGAAAAGAATCGCGAGAAGCTCTCCGAACATTCTTTCTTTTTTTGGTTTCCCGATGCGCCGACCATGAATTCTTAATAATTACATTATCGGTTGTAAATATTCCTTACGCTTCTGTTCCCTTTCAGACAATCGACTCACGTACAATCCATGAGTTTTTAATAGTTTGTATTTCTACGTGACTATCGATATATCCGAGACGCGAAAAATATATCGTGATTGTTTGTACATTACGCGAAAATGTATTTCGCAACGTCACGGTATTTTCATTCTCCCCATGAAAATACAACGCTTTATGCATAATGACTAGCAATTTTTTTGTCAGAATCCGCGGGACTTCGCTCCTAACCTTTATCTGCGTATCACGATCACATGCTGTTTTGTCTGTTTAAATCTTGCTCCAGTCCCTGCATTCCGTTTAAATAACGTATTTCCATTTGAATAAAGCCTTTGCATTTGAATAAACTGTTTATTGAAAAAATTATTCAAAAATGCTTATACATGAAATGAAACTAATACATATCCTCGTGCAAATTTATCATGCGTGTATATATTATATGCAGAACTGGTATATGTCGTAGACATACTTCGTGCAAAAAAATTCTGTATAGATACAAATAACACACGATGTATGTTTTATATGTAGAAATAAAACTATGAACAGCAATCGATATAAATTGAAATATCGTTTTTATCAGTCTTTTTCCAATTTTTACCTCAGCTACATTATATAATTTGCAATTTATGATTTAGATTGTAAAATTCAAAGTTGCTAACTTTGAAATTTGAAAATTTTTCAGATTGCCTCCCCCACCTGTTATGTGGGCTCAAAGGAAAGAAATTTTATTTGTTACGATCTGTCTAGAAGATTGCAAAGATCCTGTTATTAACATTGAACCACAAATGATATATTTTAAGGGAATAGGTGGAACAGAACAGAAAATGCATGAAATAACGATTAACCTATACGGAGAAATTGTTCCAGACAGAACAATTCAAAATTTGAGAGGAAGGACTTTAGAGTTAGTTCTTGTTAAAAAAGAAGAGGGTCCATATTGGCCAAGATTAACGAAAGAAAAAACGAAAGCTCATTGGTTAAAAAGTGATTTTAATAAGTGGAAGGATGAAGATGATAGCGACGATGAAAGCGGCATAGAAGGAAGTGGTAACGATTTGGAGGAAGTAAGAGATCGTCTTTCTCTCCTTTTTTTCAAATAGCTTTGAAGCAATTTATTTCTCATCCTCTTGGAGAAAAATATTACAACTATTTTACATTCATTTGGCTATAACTTGGCTATGCTTATAGATGATGCGACAAATGGGTGGTTTAGGAGGAACTGGCGATAGCAAGCCAAACTTTGATGACTTGGACGCCTTAGGAGATGAAGGCGAAGGAATGGATAGTGACGACGATGATTTACCTGATTTGCTTGAATGAAGACATTATTACGCCACTTTAAAATAATCTTCATTTAAAAAAGTAAAAAAATTCAAAAACAAATGGCGACCTAAAAGAATAGTGCACCACCAGGCAATATTTCAATAGGCTGTGCTATTTGTATTTTCAATTAAATTTGCTAATGGCCCAGGTTGCAGTAGCAAACAGACAAATAAGGTGCACGAGAAACTGTCAACATAAAAGAATACAGTGGTCGAGAAAAAAACAAAAGCAGTCATGTTCTTTTTAAAGATTCTCCAATCCTTCTTTAATTCATCATTCGTACGCTAAGTTATAATGGACAACCCTTTTTTAATAATAATTGCTTGTGTACAATACGAAGGAGATAAAATAATGAAAACGACTTAAATTACTTGTGGAATTGTTTATTTCATGAAATCCCGTTAAGAGAGCTTAGCACATACGTATGTACGTAAAAAAAAAAGTTTTTATAAGAATGTCAATGCAGCTTTATTTTGTCTCTTTATGAATTCGATATGTTTTTGTTTACATTTGCAGCACCATAAGTAATTTACATTATACTTAGTTCATTATTCTGCAATAAATACGATAACAATTACAAAATAAAATATCCGTGTTCTATAATATTTAAATATAAGGGAATTATAGGAAATAAAATTCTTATTTCATCTATCCAACGATACTGGAAGCGCCGCGCAATGCTAGATATCCAGCAGTTATATCCATTGGTAGACTTCGAACTGTCGCAAATTCTTCTGCAGTTGCATAGTATAATTTAGTCTGTGGATCTGTATATCGTGCCTGTAAAATAAATGTAATTTATATATCAGTTTATATATTTTAATAATGCAACCAATCATACAAACGTGTGAGAAATTAATTACCGGTAGTCCAGAAATATCGGAATATTTCTTTGCTGGCCTAAAGCTTGGCGGTGCATTGATAGAACTATCTGAAATTTTTCAAAGTAGTGCAGCATTTATATGTGTATATATTTCAACTGGAACGAACAACATTTATTATATATTAAAACTAAAATTCCTATAATTTAAAATATTTAAAGTATAAATATGGAAATTACAGCTATTAGAAAATAAACCACAAATAGATACATTGCCAAACATATGAGTTGATTTCTTGAATATTGTCATTATAATGATAATTTTTTAATTCTTCAGTTAATCAAGTCATTTTGAAATATTAAATTAAATATAAAAAATTAAAATACGTAAGTAATAAATCGTACAATGCACTACTTCTGCTGGCCATGGTAAAGTGCGTTCTTGAGCCAACATTTGTTTTAATGAACGCCAAGTCCGTTTTTTTCCAGTGGCACTAGTAGATCGAAATTTCTGTTGGAAAATTGGATTTTTATAAACTGGTTGTGATTTCTTATTAAATTCCACTACCTCTTCATTTACCATTTTTTTATTTCATTTAATACATTTATAAATCTCCTATAACAAATATATATTAATAAATACGAGTAACCATTGACATTTATCAGAAATAATTACATAAAGGTATTATATATTACATCGTCATTAAAAAGATTTACATTAAACATCTTTTTTTTGTAAATTTCCCTCCTATACAATAACATTCAAAATCACTTCTCTTTTGGACTATATAAAACCAATATTTCTCCTACATCACATTCTAATATAGCAGAAATTGTATGCATCATAGTTGTGTTTATATGTTTAACTAGAATTTTAGCCCAATGACTCAAAATAAGTACAGCTGCATAATAATCCTTTGAACCTCTGAAGAAAAAATTTTTTCATTTGTCAAAACATTTGGACTTACATGTTACATTTGTTTTTTATAAAATACCTCTGAAAATCAAAATGATATCTGTATCCATGTATGAGGTATTTTTTAATAACAATTGGTAAATTATCTTCCATTAAAACAGCACCCCTTTTGCTTGGTTCAATTAAACACAGAATTGCATGATAACAAAGTACCTGATCATAATCTGTATGATTCTTTGTCTTATAATTATACTTTGAATTCTAAACAACAGACACTAGATTAAATTAAATACAAAGACACGTTAAATCAATTGAAAATAAAGAAAGATATATACATAATATAACCTTTGCTACATGAAGAGTAATTTCTATGTTTCTTTTGATGTATTCCATATCTTTTATATGCAACCATAAAAATTTCTCAGCCATTTCTAATTGCTTATTTGTAGTACTTATCATAATATTTGATAAACTGTGTCTAAGAAAAGATGTTTGCTTATCATTATCTATTCCTACAATATTATCCTCTTTGTGATTATTAAATGCTGTGTTATCATAAGGGTTCAAATTTCCCATTATAGCAGCTTTTTTACATTTATTTATTTTACAGTTATATGAATTTACATATTTTTGATTGCATCCCAATGAATTGTTCTTTGGTCCATTCAATTTTGCTAAATTTGTCTTTAATTTTATAATTTTGTTCCATGCTTTAATTTCCCCTTTCCTAATAGTTCCATCATGTTTCCTTTTTATCCTTATTTTGTGAAGAAGCTTTGTATTAATATTCTTCAAGTGAGACGTTAAAATTTGTGTATTATTTAAATATGTAAATTTATCAAAAAGTTTAGCGTGTTTCTCTACGAAATATTCTATATTTTTTTCAATGGAAAAATCCAAATATTGTTGTACATTAATTTCTTTCATTTCTTCCGTAGAATATAATTGCTTCATTATGCAAGACTTATTTATACTTGTTACAAATGTAATTTTGTTAAATTTCTTGTGAGCTTCAATTCTTAAACCTAAGTTTTCCATAAATGTATGTATAAATTTATCCATATTGAATTTTGATATTTCAAACATGTTGCAAAATATCTGAGTTATGAAATTATAATTAAAATAATAATTATATTAATATATATATATAAATATTTTAAATTAATAAGTATAACAAAATATAAAATACTAATTTTTCTGTATCTATACAGAAACAAAGATAAATCTTTATAAACAAACTTATGCAATTGTTTCTTTACCTAACTTCATAATAATAAACAATGTAATTAGTTTCAATAATTTCAATATATTATTATAACAACAAGAAATTAAGATGTGACAAAGTTTTTTGTTAAAATGTTTAATTTATTTCTTTGTAAGAATATTGCCAAATTGTACCAGAGAAGTATTTTATATAAAACATTTCTTAAATACAGTGAGTATGCAATATTTCAGTTAATTACGACCAATAATGGTAAAGAAAGAAAATTTGTTAATTTGTCGAAACAATTTGAAAGTGAATTAGTAATTAAATAAATACATCATAACCTTGAGATGTACGAGCAATTTGAAAATGATTTTATAATGATTAAAAAAACGCATCATAATCCTCACTTAATAATCTCGATGATTATTAATAAATAATTAAATTTTTAATTTGTACATTTCTTAGTTAAGCGTAAAATTATTTTGAAATAATCTTTATTACTTACCATCGATAGATCGATACGTTACTTCACCTTAGTTATAATATGTATATACGTAACTTACGAAAATGTAAGATTGTTAAAATATTATTGTCTTTCAATTCTTAATATTATGAAAAATTAATTTTTTAGATATTATAGATATTCCTGTTATTTAGTAGAATTTATTTCTTTATAAATTCACATCTTGATTAATTCATTTTTAGAATTTTAATGAATTGTTTATATGTCAGCATTGAATAATTATTTCTCTGTGTTGAAGTTTTTCCAATGTTCTTTCGTGCAACATTTTTCAAATCTGATTTACATGTTAGATTTTAGTTTAGTCTCAACTAAAAAGTTGGGACTAAATATAAATTGTAAGTCTGTTCTATTTTCGAAAGCTTGGGATTTAATTTCAAAATATATTTATTTACTTGTTTATTAATGAAAGAATACGCAGAAATAACGGGAATAATTTTACTTTTGTAAATAATATAATTCCTGTTAACTATTTCATAATAAAACCTGAGAAAAAGAGAGGGAGTAAGGATGGTGGGGGTTCAGAAGATCAGACTAGGGAGAACGTGACTAAATTCACCTTCTGCCTTCATTGAAGGTCGAAAGAGCATTTACAAAATTTGTTTCAGATTCAAAACTAACTTACAGATTTATTATTATCAATAGTTTTTGCGTATCGGTGCACTGTAACATCATGAGTCGCAAATTTTTTGTTGGTGGTAACTGGAAAATGAACGGTACCAAAAGTGAAATCGATGGTATTGTTGCATTTTTAAAAAGCGGTCCTCTTGACGCAAACGTCGGTACGTTCTTTTTTTCTATCTGCAGTTTCCAATTCTTAAGTAATTTTAAATAGGTATTATTGTCCGTATTCTTATTCTTAAAAAAAGTAATGTTGACATATTAATCAATATTATGCAGTTACAATTTATTTGCAAAAACATAATTATTAATTGTTAAATTAATTAAAGCATACAACTATTTCAGAGGTTGTTGTTGGTGTACCATCGATATATTTAACATATGCCAAGAGCATACTACCGAACAATGTTAGTATCGCTGGACAAAACACTTACAAGGTTGCGAAAGGAGCATTTACAGGAGAAATAAGTCCTGCTATGCTTTTGGACAATGGGATTCCATGGGTAATTCTTGGCCATTCTGAACGTAGAAATGTCTTTGGTGAGACAGATGAATTAGTAGCAGAAAAAGTAGCCCATGCCTTAGAAGCTGGATTAAAGGTAATATACATACTGCGATGACATTTTAAAACTAAGAAATTAGAAAATTTATTGCTTTCAAATTACATTTAATGTAGATATATGATATAATGATTCAACTGTTTTGCCATTAATAATTTGATTGTAAAGGTGATAGCATGCATTGGAGAAAAATTAGAAGAGAGAGAAGCTGGTAAAACAGAGGAAGTAGTCTTTAGACAGACTAAAGCTATCGCAGATAAAATTAAATCGTGGGACAATGTAGTTGTTGCCTATGAACCAGTCTGGGCAATTGGAACAGGAAAAACAGCCACACCACAACAAGCCCAAGAGGTTCATGAAAAGCTAAGAGATTGGTTCTCTAAAAATATCAACCAAACTGTCGCAGAAACTGTTAGAATTATTTATGGAGGTTCGGTAACGGCAGGAAACGCAAAAGACTTGGCAAAAGAGAAAGACATAGATGGATTTTTAGTTGGAGGAGCATCTTTAAAACCTGATTTTGTACAAATCGTTAATGCCAAGCAGTGAGATAAAACATTTATTACGTGAGAATATTATTTATTAATTCAATACACACTCTAAGGATGTGTATATTTTAATAAGTACCATAAAAAATTAACTTATATATTTTCTTGTATGTACAGAGAAAGATCTAAATCATGTTGCTGCAATGAAATATTATTACCCTGCAACTGTATAATTCACCTTATTTTTCTTAAAAGGCATACTTTTCTTGTAAATATGTAATCATTAGTAACTCAATAAATATTTCAACAAAATGTAAGTTTAATCGTTTATTCTTTGCAATGATTTTTTCAATCCAGTTCATCAACTAATCCTTTAATCATAACAGTTTCAGGCATAGAATTATTAGCAACTCTACTAATACCTCCTAGTTTTGCTTTTGCACAAGCAATGTCAGACAAACATTTAAATGTTCTTGGCTCCCAAATAGCTAAAGTTGCTAAAGACTTTCGATTTAATAAAATATTACATCTACTTAATCCTTCCAATAATATATTTAAACTAATATTATGCTCGTGCGTTGCACCATTTAATCTAGTTTCCCAAAGCTGTAAAAGGAAAAAAAAATAGATGAACAATTATATAATATTCCAAGAAGTATCTTTTTTAAAAAGATTTTGTTTACCTCTCTCATATCTTCTTTTTTAAGTTGCCTTCCTTTTGTAGTTTTTAGTAATGCTCTCTGTACATTCCTAATAGCTATACTATAACAATTTCTTTTTCTTCCAATGTAATGCTGAAAGGTAAAGTGTAATTTTGTGTCATAATATATCAAATAAACGAGTAAGTACGCAGCGAGTTTAAATAAACGTGTAATTACCGCAGCGAGTTTAAATATTTGACGTTTCCGCCAGAATTCATCAGGACCCCGACTTCTGATAAATAGCTGTGCAGTTAAAAATACCATTTTTTCTACTAAAATCGATTAAATAGTAGAAATCAAATGTTCATTCATAAATACGAAGAGCGAGTTGTGTTGTAATTCACCTAACCCAAAATACCTAGCAGATCCACGGACTATCAAACTCGATAGATTTAAAACTATAATATTAATGCAACAAAATCAAATAAAATCAATGCCCTATAGCATAGATGAAAAATAATATAGACGTGAAGTATTCGAATCTATTGAATAAAATTCGTAAATTTTTATAAATACTTATATGTCAAATAGACTAGGAAGGAAACTTAGAACCTAATTTCAAAGATACAATTGCAAAAATATATTCTGTTAATCTTTTTTCATGCACACTAAAATACCAGCGCCGCGTAGCGGTGAAACGTTGAAAGAAATCGTTATTTTTGACTTTGTTGCATATTATTGTCCTTGTTTTTTTTCATCATATATATTTGGCCTTTTTATCATATATATTTGGCCTTGCGGAATCGTTATTCTCTTTGCCTATAAATATGTGTATACTCCTTTTAATTAATTATACTATGATAATTAACATAAAAACAACCAATTATCGATTTTCAAGCGCTAGTTTTTTTAATTGATTTTAAATTTCTGACTTTTTGCCGTTTGTTTTCTACTTCTTTTTTCTTCTCGCCGATATTGCCACTAATTCAATCAGTAAAAAGTGGCACCTCATCTGTGCCTCCATATACGTGTAAGGTACAATTATCTTTCGGACCTATCCGAAACTTTAGTTTAATTAGGGGATTGTTCTCTTAGACAAGATACTTCATCTGTGGGCTAACATGCAATCATTGGTTAAAAATTAGTTAATCAATGATTTTGTTGTCCCATGTTTTGAGCTCGTAAGATCCTATTACCATTTGCGTGTCACATCCTGTCGTACCGATTGAGGCAGCGCTACTAGTGATGGAAATTAAAATCAAAAAGTATGGACAGTGTTGCCACAGCTCATACATCTCGTCTATAGTGGATCTATTCATACACCTCGTCTGAGATTCCAGTCACAGCTGAGAGGTGAAAATGGCAGCATCGTCCTTTAACAAGGAGCGCAACAAGGATAGAAATGACAATTAGTTACAATGTTTCATCGCTATGTGACGCTAGCATTCGAATTTTCGTGAATTGTCTATGTGTTACAATCATAGTTATACGAATTATATTATGTTATACTGGATGGAGTTGGAAGGTATAAAATTAAATAATAAATTAATTGTTTATGATAGCACTAAATCACGTTTTTTCTACTAACAATGATTGTTCAATTTTCATCAGAAATTGTATGGTTACTTGATTTCTTTCAGTACGACAAAAATAAAAGAAATGAATGAGGAAACGATGGATTTGGAGGATGTGAACATGAACGACGTTACAAACTCCGAGGAGGAGTATTCGGAAAATGAACGCAAATTACTTAAGAAAGTGCGAGACAGACAGTCCTCGGAAAGTTATGACAGTGATTACGAAGTATATGGGTTATTGGATGCGAACGAACAGAATCAAAATGATACGGAAAACGAAGACCAGATGGATTCCATGGAGTCTGACATCGAAGGACTACAAGAAGATTTTAATCTGCCAAATGAAAAAGCTTGGGGAAGAAAGAAAAAAGCGTATTATTCTACGGATTTCGTAGATCCTGATTATGCTACTATCAGTCAAAAAGATTTGGCAGAAGCAGAAATCGAGGAGGAAGAAGCCAGAAACATTCAGAAAAGATTGGCAGAGCAATTGGACGACGTTGATTTTGGACTAGATCTTGTACAACCGGCAAAAAGTAACGATGAAAAGCTATACAAGGACGTGGAGCAATTTATAAAAATGGATTTTGACAAACTTAGCAAGAGACAAAAACAAACAATGATGCAGAAAGAGAGCCCGGAATTTATGATTCTTGTAAATGACCTTAAAGGTACTGTATTCGATAAAGTTTACAAAGTATATTTAAGGTATAAGGTTTGGAAGATTGAAAAGTATAAATATCTTTTAAAATACATTTTATGATTCAGATCACATGACAGAAGCAAAAGATTCGTTGGCGCCATTTCTAAAGTTAATCAAAAATGGTATTGTTCCTAATTGTCCTGCAGTTTCCTTCGTAAAGACAAAGTATCATCTTTTATTAAATTATTGTATCAATATTTCGTTTTATCTGATGCTTAAAGCAAAAAGACTGCCTGTTAATTCCCACCCAATTATAAAACGTTTGGCACAGTATCGTCAGCTGTTAAATCAACTAGAATCTGCGCAAGGAAATTTAATGCAGGAAATACAGGAAATACTAAGAGCCAAAAGAGAAGACAAAGTACTGTATAGTACATTAAATGGTAGTGAAATAAGCATCGATAACCAAAGGATATGTCTCAAAGAAAAAGTGAATTATGTAAAGGAAGCTGTAGATGATGTTGCAAATGTACATTCGTTAGAATCTGAATCTGAATCTGAATCTGAATTAGAAGCAGAAAACGATAAATATATAGATAAGAAGTTCAAGGACAAGATCTTGGACAATAAAGGAGAAAGTAAAATGGAAAGTACCAATATTCCAGATGTAATCGAAGATAAAGGAAAAAGAGCAATTACGTATCAAATAGCAAAAAATAAAGGTTTAACGCCGTATCGTAAGAAAGAACAACGCAACCCTAGAGTAAAACACAGAAATAAATATCGCAAAGCAAAAATTCGTAGGAAGGGAGCGGTAATTGTCTTAAATGTTTAATACATTCTGACATGTGATTAACTTACAATTTGCGAATATAATTTTTTATTTTTCAGATAAGGGAAGTAAGAAAAGAGATCACTCGTTATGCTGGAGAGATATCGGGCATTAAAGCTAGCGTAAAGAAAAGTATCAAATTGAAATAAAAAATGGAGCTGTACAAAACTTATATTTTACATAAAATTTTGTTTTAGAAATTATAGAATTGTCTTTTTATTTCTCGTGCAATACATTTCTACACATTTACTTATGTATAAAAATCTAATATGAACTTACGTACTAAGTATATCGAAGGATTCTATTGTCTTTTTCTTTTATTGTACAAATCATCAATGTGAAAAGAAAATGGAAAAAAAAGACGAGTATTTAAACAAATAGTACGAGTAGTACATAAACACAACAAATGCTTTATTTTCTTACTTTTATATGTATGAAATCATGACATATATAACAACATATATATAAGGGAATAGTATTGTATGATGCAATAAGAAACATCAAAGTTTGCATGAAAGTAACTTACATTTCACTGTTTCATTGCTTATATATTTTTTATGAAGTCTTACGAAGGCTTTTAGTATTTAAAAAAAAAATACAAACACAAACTTAAAAGAGATTCAAACTTCTAATTTTGCCAGTATATCCGACTCACGGAACAAATGAAATTCCTTATTTTCTTCAATTTCTACTTTAGTTCCGCCATATTCTGGCAATAGTACGACATCACCAACTTTGATACTCAGAGGAATGTGTTCTCCTTTCTGAAAAAGAAGAATATTATTTACCTCATTTTATTTCTTTTTTTGATATATTGTAAATACCAGATATTTCTTACATACATCATTCCTTTGTCCAGGTCCAATCGCTACAACAGTTCCTTGTAATACTTTCGCTTGAGCTTTCTCTGGTAAAACAATACCACCTTTGGTTTTTGTTATAGCTTCGGCTCTTTGTATGAGAACTCTATCAAATAGAGGCACAAGTCTCTTAATGACATTAGCTGCGGCCTATTACGAAAATATTAACACAGAGCATATATAAGAAAATTCATAACATTCAAATACAATAAATTCTTTTCAACGTGTGTTTTAAATATATCTAAGTTAATTACTTTGAGATCGTGCATGGCGTAACTGTTTCTAATTCTTACAATTTAAAATTTCTTTAGACTATTGTTTACGCGCTTATTTACTTTATAAAGTAAATGATGAAATTAGGAGTGGAAATTTCTACAAGACGCAGTAATTATCCGCAAATGATTTTACTATTAAATTTGCGATGTCAAGTCACATGCACACGATAAAAATTATCATTGCACGCGTATATTTTTGTTTTATTAACCATTTCGCAGTCACTTGTTTTTCTATTTCAGACAAGGACTCATTGTGCCGGCCATGCGATGGGATCTATAGAGACGAAATCATTGAAAACTACGATACTAAACAAAGAAACATCAGACAATATGAATTGATTGCACGTGATTTTAAGTGCACTCGTTACAATTTTCGAATTGGAAGATAATTTAATAGAAAATATATCGCTTCGACTAATACTTTTTGAGGTTATCTCAAAAAATGCTCGGGAACGTATTAAAAAGTTGGCTTGCCATTGCATACAGTGACAAAATTCCAAGTGACGGAAGATAGACAATTTCACATAAAAATTTACATTGCTCTTACCATTTTTTTATAAGAATTGTAAGGTTAAACGATCTACCGGGAACGTACACTTGCCCGACCACGTTGTGCAACTTCTGTACAGAAGGCGCACGATCTGCACTACTTTTCTCGAAGATTCTCGATTCCCCTCCATGTTTCTGTGCCCCACCACGTGTTTATTGATTTCGTGTTCGAGCAAAGAACCCAGTATACCATTACGTAACCACTGATATATCTACGCGCGATAAGAAGACAACCACAAAATGGCACCAGAATGTCTTGTTGCTATGAAAAATAATTTACAATTTCTTTTTTTAAAGTATTCTAATAAATGAAAATAAATTTTACATTTTTATTCACGTGTTTATTGTAATATCAGACATGTAACAAGTCCTACCTGATATCATTGCTATTTTGTACATTTTTTAAATAGAAATTTCTTTCCATTTAATATCGTACATTTATAAGGTATTTATCGTAAGATTGTATTATATCGGTGCAACAATTTACATACTAAAATTTTTTCTTATAAATTTTCTTGTTCGATGAATTACAATACATAAAAATATCTCTCAATCATTTGATATAATTTAAAATGAAGTGAAATGAAAAGTATAATAAAGATTCTATCTATATACTTAATTCATTAAATTATTTATTTCCAATATATATCAGAGAAACGTGAGAGAAGATTAAAAAGTTCACTCGAAGAAGAAGCAACGGATTTCAGAAATGAATTATTGTTTAATGTTCTCTCATAAGGCTAATCTTTGTGTCACAAGCCATTCCAAAAATTCCATTTTGAACTTGCAAACTGATAACGTTTATTTGAATATTCTTATTGCAACAAGAAACTAGTTACTGGTACACCAACGAATTATGATTGGTGAATACCGAACGATTGCATCACATGTGTTCTGGTACATTCTAGAACCTACAATCTCCGGCCAAGATAAAGAACCGTCTATGCGAATAAAGAGTGAAATACAGTCAAACGAAGGTGCAGGAGAAATTTTGCATTTTTGTTTCTCGTTGCATTCCACAGCTGTTGAATTTATTGATGATTTTCGAAAGATTTCATGATTGAACATGTAGAAGAAAAAGGTTAGGTTAGAATGAGGAGGAAATGGTGGGGAGGGAATCATTACCCATGTGATAGCGTAAGCCTTCTTACACATTTCATTCTACTAGCGAGACAACGTGCGGTCACGCTGTGCCGATTTTCAATTACTTTTGTAACTATAATTCCTAATCAGCGGCTTTTTCTCTCTCATTAATTAAAGGTAAACTTTTTTTTTCTTATACATTTGATACCTTTTTTTTTGAGAATAAAATATACATTCGTTTAGCAGCGCATCAACCGGTTAGTAATCTCGAACCAATTTAGTTTTTTCGCATTCGTCGTGGATGTTTTACGTTTTTTGTGCGTTTATTATCGTGCGGGGATATATTCTGCATTTACGCTGACCTTTTGAGTTTGTCATCTCCTTAAAAAATTGAAACGTTGAACCTTTAACGATTTCACCATCCACAATTTTGTCGTCGTTCGGAAACGTGGAAAGAAGAGCGAAAAGATACAAATAACATTGTCTCGCAAACAAGTTATCAGACTTTATCAAAATTATTCGTCCTTTTATTTTTTCTTCTTGCCGTGATAATTTCCAGTTACTTCTTTCGTTTGATCTCTTTTCACTCGGATAAGCCGGTCAAATTGACTACGTTGTTGCTGCATTGAAGTGAAGAAACGAATGCAAAAAATACACAGAAGCGATAAGCTTAAATATCGTTGCACACACAAGTTGCAAAAATTTGTCACAATTTATTACAGATTAACGTGAATTTGAGGTAACCTGTATTTCATTGTGTTTTCTTGACGACCACGCGGCAATTTACATAACCACAATCACTGAAAAGTCGATTAATTATCCTCTATGTTAGACACTTTTTTCTTTTTTTTAACGTGGAAGTAAAATTATTAAATTTAATTAAATTAACTTTACAGAAAATATTACTATTTGCATATTTCAATAAGTTTTGATTGCAATCCTAACAGCATCTCTTTTTTTTTTTACTATTTTAGATGCACAGATTACCGACTGTATTGCGTGGTGCGGCATTACGTCAGTTACAAGCTCGTTCATATGCCAAAGATGTACGTTTTGGTGCAGAAGTTAGAGCACTTATGTTGCAAGGTGTTGATATTTTAGCAGACGCGGTTGCAGTTACGATGGGTCCAAAAGGACGTAACGTCATCTTAGAGCAAAGTTGGGGTAGTCCAAAGATCACCAAAGATGGTGTCACAGTTGCCAAGGGAGTGGAATTGAAAGACAAGTTTCAAAACATTGGAGCGAAATTGGTGCAAGATGTGGCGAACAATACGAATGAAGAGGCAGGCGATGGTACGACCACGGCTACAGTTCTAGCAAGAGCCATTGCTAAAGAGGGATTTGAGAAAATTAGTAAAGGTGCTAATCCTGTAGAAATAAGAAGAGGTGAGTGAAAGTAAAAATAAAAATGAAACTAAACATCTACTTTTGTGTCTACGCAATGCTATTAGAAATCTTTTGAAATAGATTATAGAATATAATTTATAACAAAATATTGAACGTATTGCAGGCGTAATGTTGGCAGTTGACAAAGTCAAAGACGAGTTGAAAGCTTTAAGTAAACCGGTAACAACTCCAGAGGAAATTGCACAAGTAGCAACTATTTCAGCTAACGGGGATAAGGCAATTGGCAATCTTATATCGGACGCTATGAAAAAAGTTGGAAAAGAGGGTGTAATCACTGTGAAAGATGGTAAAACGCTACACGACGAACTGGAAGTTATAGAAGGAATGAAATTTGATAGGGGCTATATATCTCCATACTTTATAAATTCTAGTAAAGGGGCAAAAGTTGAGTTCCAAGATGCACTTTTGCTCTTTAGCGAGAAAAAGATATCGTCCGTACAATCTATAATTCCAGCATTGGAGTTGGCGAATTCCCAACGAAAACCGCTTGTTATTATAGCAGAAGATATCGATGGTGAAGCACTATCGACGCTTGTGGTCAATAGATTGAAAATCGGTTTGCAGGTGGCTGCGGTTAAGGCCCCTGGTTTTGGAGATAATAGGAAAGCGACGCTTCAAGATATGGCAATTCTCACTGGTGGGATTGTATTTGGCGATGATGCGAATCTTGTTAAATTGGAAAACGTGCAGTCGTGCGATTTAGGCGAAGTGGGAGAAGTTATAATTACGAAAGACGATACGCTGTTCCTTAAGGGCAAAGGGAAAAAAGCTGACATTGATCATAGAGCGGATCATATAAGAGATCAGATTGCCAATACAACTTCCGACTATGAAAAAGAAAAGCTACAAGAGCGACTGGCAAGGCTAGCGTCTGGAGTTGCAGTTCTGAGAGTTGGCGGAAGTAGCGAAGTTGAAGTTAATGAAAAGAAAGACCGTGTTCACGATGCTCTCAACGCCACTAGAGCAGCTGTTGAAGAAGGAATTGTTCCTGGAGGTAATTATACTCTGTTCCTTCAATATCTGTAACAAATTTTCACATAAATGTGCAGTGAATGTTCAAAATTTAACTTCTTAAGTTTTGTTTACTTTGAAAAATGTCATATGTATTATATAGAAAACGTGTGTTATGTATTCATCGTAGATCTTGAGAAGAAAAGAAAAATAAAAATTCTTTTTGATGTTTGTAATTTATAGGTGGCACTGCTCTCCTAAGATGCATTCCAGCTCTTCGAAATCTGAAAGCATTAAACAACGATCAAGAAACGGGAATAAAGATAGTGGCAAATGCACTGCGTATGCCATGTTTGCAAATTGCTCAAAATGCAGGCGTGGATGCTAGTTTAGTGGTAGCGAAAGTTAGTGACAGTAATCTTGGATATGATGCTTTGAAAGATGAGTATGTTGATATGATCGAGAAAGGTATCATCGATCCAACAAAGGTAGTGCGTACGGCACTTACTGACGCCGCGGGTGTTGCGTCGCTACTCACGACTGCAGAAGCAGTAGTTACTGAATTGCCTAAAGAAGAGCCTCAGATGCCAATGGGTGGTGGTGGCATGGGCGGTATGGGCGGTATGGGCGGTATGGGAGGCATGGGCATGTAATTAAATAAAATCCCATGCGAAGACTGAATTTCACATCGCAATTCAATCGCAATAACAATTAACTCGTTACAAATTGCTATTGAAATTGCAGATATATAAATACCAGATCGAGTAAAGCTAAACACTTAGAACACTACTGTACTTTATAAAGGAGAAAGCGAATTTTTCACGTGCCGTATTGATATTTGTTCTCGAATCATTCGTTTGTGTTTTGCATTTTTAAGCATTATTGTTCCGCTGAATATAAGCCCTTATTTCATTTCTTTACCAGAAGAAAGTGCGTATTTATATTAACAGCATTTATATTAACATATGTCTTGTTATAAA